TGCACACAATCAGGGCAGTTAGAGAATCCTAGATGTCGTACCCACTCACGGCAGTTAGAGAATCCTAGATGTCCAGGAGCACTCCACTTTGGGCGACAGAGTGAGACTCCAACGAAAAAAAAAAAAAAAAAAAAAGTCAAAGTGCCGAAAAGGTCAAGGTAGATGTCAGACCTGTGAGAAAACCTAATTGTCTCCTTAACAGAGGAGTAAAAATAACAGCTGCCATTTATTGAGCACTCTCCACAGGACAAACACTGCTAGATCTGACCCTTGGGGGGACCTTTTAAAATCTCCATAACAACCTTGTAAAGAAAGGAAACATCTAGAACATTCCAGACCCAGGATTCTCATCCAGACAGCCCATAACTTCAACATGATACTCTAACTCTCAGGCTAGAAGGAAAGATGGGGGCCAGATTGGGCAGGACAGGGTTGTTTGAACTTTTGCCTGGACGACCTGTGGTTCTCAATCTTTTCCCCACTTCTCTGCGTTTGAGCCGAAGGATGCCTTTCACCTCCCTAACAGGGGTTCAACACGAGCACGGCTTAGGGAAGGGCACCGACCTCTGCCGCGTGTGTTTAGAAATACGGTTCAGCCGGGCTCGGTGGCTCAGCCTGTAATCCCGCGCCTTGGGAGGCTGCGGTGAGTGGATGGTCTGAGCCCGCAGGTTCGAGACCCGCCTGGGCAACTTGGTGAGATCTCATCTCTACAATAAATCAAAAAACTAGCCGGGTGTGGTAGCGCTTGCCTGTAGTTCCCGCTACTCGGAAGGCTGCGGCGGAAGGATCGCCGGAGCCCAGCGGGTCGAGGCCACTGCACTCCAGTCTGGGCGACGGAGTGAGACTCCAACTCAAAAAAAAAAAGAAAAAAAAAGAAATACAGTTCATCCTGTCCTGGAAGGATACACGCCTTGGGGGGCGGGGGGAGGGTGGTTTGAACTTCGCCTTCTGAGATTCTCTTGGGAGCACGGACCCTATCCTGAACTGCACATGTGAGGGATCTAGGCTGTGAGCTCCTTAGGAGAACCTAAAACCTGACGACCCCCCCAGCCCCTCCCCTTCCCCTCTTCCCTCCC